ACTACCAGGTCCATTGCAAATGAATGGTTTGCAGAATACGGAAGACCTATTGGCATGCGAAGTATTTACCGACGAATGAGAAGTTTTGGCTTGTTTTCATACCGGCCACACTGGGTCCTCCCTTTAACTCGAGAACACCGACGCAATCGCCTTGAGTGGTGCAGACTACGGTCACTCTGGGATCAGGAATGGAACAGTATTGTCTTTAGTGACGAGTCTCGATTTTGTTTAGGCATGCACGATGGTCGTGCCAGGGTTAGAAGGCGACGTGGTGAAAGGAGGAATCCACAGTTTTTTGTTGAAAGACATGTTCATCACACTGTTGGAGTTATGGTTTGGGGTGCTATAGCTTATGGTTCCAGGTCACCTTTAATCTTCATCAGAGGTAACATGAACGCGCAGCGTTATATCCTCGAAGTTCTAGAACCCCATCTTTTACCCTATCTTGACACCCTGGCAGATCCAACTTTCCAACAAGATAATGCCCGACCACATGTTGCAAGAGTCACAATAGACTTCTTTCAACATACATAATGATGTCACATTGTTACCATGGCCACCAAGATCTCCCGACTTATCCCCAATTGAGCACGTGTGGGATATGATGGGTAGGAGATTGCTCAATTTGCAACGTCTTCCTCAGACTCTAGAAGCACTTCGAGAGGAGTTGGTGGTTGCCTGGAATGAGATACCACAGGAGGACATTGACCACCTGATCAGAAGCACGCCTAGGCGCGTTGGAGAATCCGTAGCACATCAGGGTGCATCCACACATTATTAAAGGTCAAAGGGCTTTAAAGCAGTGCAATCATTTTGAAATTTTTATCATTTACTTATTATGCTTCATTAAGTACTTATACAAAATTTTATTAAAATAAAACCATTTAAACTGGGTGTTCGGATTTATATGTCACTTAGTATAAGATATACAGAGTTTGCATTTTTGCTTCATATACAATTCAATTATGCATGAATTTACAAAAAATATAATCTATTCTCAGATTATCTGAAACAGCGAGTAATCGTATAGCAATCTATAAGCATACCAAAAATGGCAAAATATGTGCGTGAAAGTTTTCTTCAGCTGAAATGGGCGCTTTTTTGCATGTACTGCTGATCGATATCTTGCAGATAAATTACGTGAGAGCTATAAGAACACCAGGAAATGAAATTCTTTCATAATTATTATTTACAACTCTTTCATCACTATATTTAAATCGCAAAAGTTGACATTTGTGCTCAACCATTCTAGAAAAAAACTGACAATGTTGATTAATTTTTTTGTGTAAATCTTGACTACATTGTCCATTACATAAAAAATTAACAGTAAACATTTCAATTTACGGACATATACAGAGTGATAAAAAAAGGTGAGCACCTACGTATGTGTATCCGACTTTAATAACTTTGACACATATGTGCAGTGTCCCTTACTAGTAAAATGATTGAATTTTCAACTAGATTCGGCACCTGACTGCAGCAGCTGGTTCAATAATGTCTTCTGCGGTTAAAATTTAACGAATACGTACTCCAAAAATAATAACTCATACCGAATTCTAAAGGCAGGTCATTACACCATTGTATCTTTACCTTTTTACGATGTGTAACAAAACTTGCTGACATCAACGCTATATTTAGAAGGCCATGATACACGCGTATTTATTTCGTAAAACATACCGATAAATATCACTTGATAACTTTTACCTTGCCCTAAAAGCAATATTCACTATTAGGTGGTACGACATATTTTCATACATAACAAGCTTGTCTCGGCTTTGAGTGGCTACGGTAAAAATAATAAAGATGAAGATAAGATCTGTGTACTTACTGTTATTTGTTCCTAGTTTGTGCATCGTTGTCTTCCGGCTTTTATTGTATAATACCAGTGGGCTTGAATACGCAATCATCTTGCTCCTTTGATAATAAGTATACCTTGTCGCCCACTTACACAAAATGCCATGTCTAAGAATCGTTGTTTCCTTCTAATACAGCATAGCATCAAATTAAATACAAGTCTGTCAGTCTTAATTATTAAGGTTACTTCTCACATTCTGAATCATGATATCTAGGAGTAGTCAAAAAACAACGCGTATTCTGTTATTGCCCTTCATACAACATCAAACCTTGTTGCGGTAAATCGATCTCTAAGTGCATTTTATACGTCACTTAGCATAGATAGTTTTTAATAAAAAATGTTGAACTATACTAAGTGACATATAAATCCGAACACCCAGTTTAAATGGTTTTATTTTAATGAAATTTTGTATAAGTACTTAATGAAGCATAATAAGTAAATGATACAAATTTCAAAATGATTGCACTGCTTTAAAGCCCTTTGACCTTTAATAATGTGTGGATGCACCCTGATGTGCTACGCATTCTCCAACGCGCCTAGGCATGCTTCTGATCAGGTGGTCAATGTCCTCCTGTGGTATCTCATTCCAGGCAACCACCAACTCCTCTCGAAGTGCTTCTAGAGTCTGAGGAGGACGTTGCAATTTGAGCAATCTCCTACCCATCATATCCCACACGTGCTCAATTGGGGATAAGTCGGGAGATCTTGGTGGCCATGGTAACAATGTGACATCACCATGTTGAAAGAAGTCTATTGTGACTCTTGCAACATGTGGTCGGGCATTATTTTGTTGGGAAGTTGGATCTGCCAGGATGTCAAGATAGGGTAAAAGATGGGGTTCTAGAACTTCGTGGATATAACGCTGCGCGTTCATGTTACCTCTGATGAAGATTAAAGGTGACCTGGAACCATAAGCTATAGCACCCCAAACCATAACTCCAACAGTGTGATGAACATGTCTTTCAACAAAAAACTGTGGATTCCTCCTTTCACCACGTCGCCTTCTAACCCTGGCACGACCATCGTGCATGCCTAAACAAAATCGAGACTCGTCACTAAAGACAATACTGTTCCATTCCTGATCCCAGAGTGACCGTTGTCTGCACCACTCAAGGCGATTACGTCGGTGTTCTCGAGTTAAAGGGAGGACCCAGTGTGGCCGGTATGAAAACAAACCAAAACTTCTCATTCGTCGGTAAACACTTCGCATGCCAATAGGTCTTCCGTGTTCTGCAAACCATTCATTTGCAATGGACCTGGTAGTGGAGAAACGGTCCCTTAAGGCCAATAATCTTAGGCGGCGATCTTCACGGTCTGTTGTTCTACGGCGGCGTCCAGTGCCCCTTGCTCTTTGCGTACGGCCTTCTCGAAGCCATGCCTGACAACACCTAACCACAGTGTCTACACTTCTTTGCACTCTAACTGCAATTGCCCGAAAAGAAAGTCCAGCTTCCCGAAGTCCCACTATACGGCCCCTATCAAACTCACTAAGTTGACGAAATCGTACAGGTCTCCGTACTCTAGGCATCGTAACCGATCATAAAGGATGTCAAGAACCAAAATCCGCCAACGTTGATTCTTTACTGCGGCTGAAATATTCATTTTTAGAGCGTTAGTGAATTAACAAAAAGCAGTATAAAAACCGGAATGTCCAACTGATAAGGCTGAAAATTTTTTCACTTGTTATTTACAGTAAGATAAATACATTCACCAACTTTTATTAAAATAAAACCATTTAAAACTGGGTGTTCGGATTTATATGTCACTTAGTATACCTACATTGATCTGTGTATATGAGGAAAAAATGCGTTCGAAGTAAATTTTAATGATGATTTCTAGGTGTGATGGCATTTTTGTATCTAATAGAAGAATGTCTCGTAATCCATTGATAAATCGTGGGCTATTACTACACGTATTCCAGAGGAATGTTTTTCATGTCGAATTCCCACGCGCTGCTGCGTCAAAATAGTTTTGCAACTATTCATGATTTATTAGCGCAGATCCATATTTGTATGCGTCTGTCTATCTCGACGAAAACGTGTTTCATTGGGGAGGAATTAAAACAACTTCTACGCTGTTATCTTCGTACTGTAATACAGTAATATTGAGGTACAGCTAATAATAGGGGTGTAGTGTTTTTATTTAACAGCTTATTTCAACGAGATCAAACAGGGATGTTAAAATTTCCTTATACAGGGTGGCCGATATGTAACTGACTGGTTTGTATCTTGAAAACTTGTGAAATAAAATAAAATACGTTCACGGGAAAAACGCTCAGACCCGTCGATTTTGTTTTCGAGGGGGACACAAGTTTGGTAAAAAATCACGTTAGCACGTGCAGCCCCCTAAGCGGGGGTGACACCACCCCCAAAATCTTGAATGGAAAGGGGGGTCGAGTGATACCTTACTTTAAAGGCCTCTTAATTCCCCTTATAATGATATAAAATTAATGTACTTCAGTTCAGTAGTTTTGAAGATTTATTGATCTAAAGCTTAGATAAAACAAATACATCATCATTAGTGGAGGTCAATACATTTGGCAGCAAAGTAATTTAAAAATGAAGAATGAACTGACCCGTTAGGCAAATAAATGTTGAAAATGGCAACCATGACTATCGATTCAATAATAAAGATTTTGCTCAACACGTTGCCGCACATTTTGCAATATTTGAGGAGTAATTTGAAGGCACTCATTCACAATTTCTTCTGAAAGTAGTACAAACTAATCTGATGTACCTATTAAAGTCTACTTTAAGCTTTAAATCAATAAATCTTCAAAACTACTGAACTGAAGCTCATGTATTTTACATCATTATAAAGGGAATTGAAAGACCTTTGAAATAAGGTATCACTCGACCCCCCTTTCCATTTAAGATTTTAGGGTTGGTGTCACCCCCGCGCAGGGGGCTGCACGTGTTAACGTGATTTTTTGCCAAACTTGTGTCCCATTCGAAAAAAACAAAATCGACGGGTCTGAGCGTTTTTCCAAAAAAAAACTCTGCTTTCTCACATATCACTACTTCAGAATTTTTGGAACGTAAAGGGTGATTTTCCCAACTTTGAAGCTTAATTAAATCCACAAATGTAGGATCTTTTGTCTTACAAGCTAGTTGTGCGAGTACCTGAAACTCTACCTTTTCTCCAGGTAATGTGGACATCGTGAACGGAAACCTGAAGCTCATCCTGGGCCTGATATGGTCCCTGATCGTGCGCTACCAGATAGGCAGATCGAAGTTCCCTCCCAGAAAGCTGATGCTGGCTTGGCTGCAAGCAGTACTGCCCGAGTGTAAAGTCAGCAATCTCACCACCGATTGGAACTCTGGTGTACTTCTTTCGGCTCTTGTCGATTACTGTAGGCCTGGACTGTTCCCCCACTGGAGAAAGCTTGGTGAGTCTTACAATGATCAAGAAATTGATCGACAAAGGAACTCTTTTCGATCTTACTTCAATCTTTGCAGTTGCTGTCAGACCCGCTACTCAATATAAGATCCTACAAGCCTGCAACCCACAAACCACGCTAGCGAAAAGCGGGTTGCATACGTTTAGGCAAATATTAGTAAAACGACCATTGCCAAGTGCGGATTCACCTTTTATTTTTGTTGCACATAAAGCTAATGGCATCGAGAATTGCCGTAGAGCCGTGGAGATATCCCAGAAAGAGCTTGGAATCCCTGCGGTGTTAGAGCCAGAATATCTGGCATCACCATGGCTGGATGAGCTGTCTGGAATGACCTATCTTTCTTATTTCACGAAACCTGAGTCTAACACTTTTCGATTTTACTTTAAGCTTTGCAAATGCTGTCAGACCCGCTACTCCATATAAGATCCTACAAGCCTGCAACCCACAAACCACGCTAGCGAAAAGCGGGTTGCATAAGTATAGGCAAATATTAGCAAAACGACCATTGCCAGGTGCGGATTCACGTTTCATTTTTGTTGCAGATAAAGCTAATGGCATCGAGAATTGCCGTAGAGCCATGGAGATATCCCAGAAAGAGCTTGGAATCCCTGCAGTGTTAGAGCCAGAATATCTGGCATCACCATGGCTGGATGAGCTGTCTGGAATGACCTATCTCTCTTATTTCATGAAGCCCGGGTCTCCGGGATTCTATGCCACACTCCGATGGGTCAACTCGAGGCTGGAACGACCTGTCAAGAACTTTACGGTAGGTACATACATTGATTAACTGATACTGTATTTCTGCGTCAGAGATGAAATGAGATCCCACGTCGTCCTCTATGAGGATTTGTCTCAGCTGTGTTTCTCCATCTACTTTGAAAATGTATCTGCCTCATTTTTTTACATCAGTGACGTTCATGCCGAAAACCTCAATGTGCATGGAAAAATAGTTTTGCAAAAAATAATGGATAGCTAGTAACTTTACCCCAGAAGACTGTGTCCAGTTATTGGAAAGGTCTTTAAGATTCATTGAAAAATTGACGGAAAAAGACGTAAAAGAACTAGCGCAGAGATGGGAACACTAAATTGGATAAAACAAATTAGAACGAGGATACTTCAAAAGTCTTCAAAAAATATTGTATATTTCGCATCGAAGGTACTCGTTAATTCGGTACGCCACATAGCGGCCAGTCCAGAATCTTCGGGGTCAGTCTCGCATCTCGCGTCGATGTCGAATAAGAGTCCCTGACGCGGTTTCAAACAGATGGCGCTAGTACTACTATTCATTCTTGTTACAATATTTGTTCTGTATGGTAGATCAGCTGGATTTACATTTTTTTTACTTCAGAGCGACTGGAACGATGGTAAAGTGATAAGCGAGTTGATTAGATCACTTGGTGGTTCTGCCAGTGCTCCAGAGAAGCTGAAGAGTGATCCTGCATACTGGGAGACAAACCAAGCGCAAGCCATCGACGCAGGAAAAAGATTAGGTAAAGAAAGCCCTCTCGATTTTTCCTCACAATATCCAGGCAATAAAAACTTAATTTATGCTGATACAGAGTTCATAGTGGCCATTTCATTAGAAGCTAGTTGATAATTTGCTTTTTCTTCAGCCACATTAACACTCTACATCCAATGCTTGATATTTCAGGTGTGCAACCGATTCTGTCAGCCAAAGACATGGCTGACAGGCACGTGGAACACCTCGGGGTTATGGCTTATGCGGCTCATTTCCAGTGGGTTCCGGAAAGACCGCCACTTCACGACCTCATCGGCGTTACTTTGGAGTCGACGTCTGGAAGAGTGGGACAGCCGGTAAGTTTCCTTTGTTACTCAATCGATATTAAAGTGTGAAAAGTGACATTTTGACGTAGTTTTTTTGACATTTTAACGGTTTTTTGTGATATAACGTAGAATTTTCTACAAGTCGTCAACTTAGCACTTATTGTGAACTCATTTTGTGGCTGTTCGTGCTAAAGGATTTATGTGCTAAAACTCTGTGTTGATTTGAATTCCGTTGGTGTTTTTTTTGTCTCAAATATACTTACTCGAAATGTATTCAAAGCTAGAAATTAGTTGCGTATCTATTTTTTCTTATTTATTCTGGATATAATGTATGCAAATTTGCTGAATTTCAAAATTGAGAGAGGTAAGAAAAAACAATCCCTGGTTGGTAAAGTAATTAACTTCATGTGGAATCGTATTTTATACTTAGATATTGCCACATATTTCAATTATATTCACTGTACACTGTCGAATTACAAGTCATATACACATTACCAGTAATGAAAACACAAAAAGATGAATGGAAAAAAATCGTAATTTAAAACTCTGAACATAACCTGTCTTCAGAAAGAACAACATAAGAATAACCCGCCGGGCACAGCTAATAGATGTACAGGTTGTCTAGTGGGAAAATTCACATTTCAAATTTAAATTACCCGGCAACCGTATACGCGAGGAAGTGGGGAGAGGCGCGCGGGTTAAATACTCACAATGGAACGTTGGACCGGAGCGCAACCGAGGCTTACCTTAAGAGTGGTGATTCATACGCCGCTGCACTTCGGAATTCTGTACACGTTACAACATTCGCCGACCAAGAGGTGCCAGAAGTAAGAACCTATTGAAAAAGTTCCAATAAATTTCTATTCTATTACGGAAATCGTGTGCTGAACGGATGTTGAACCTTTTCCTACGCAGCGCAGACTCGAAACGCTGTTTTCAGTGACGAGGCCCACTTAGACGGTTATGTGACACAAGCAAAATTGCCGATATTGGGCACCACCGAGCCTAAAAGACATAAATCAACAAATAGCTACATAGTCCAAAGGTCTAGCGATATTGTTGGGGCCGTATTTATTTGAAGATGAAAACGGTCATGCGTTGACAGTCAATTCCGAGCGATACAAGGACATGATTGACGCTTTTTTCTGCTCCTGTTGTACGTCGATTTATGGTTTCAACAGGACGGGGCTACAGCCCGTACTTCCAGAGAATCGATTGACACGGTGAAAGCGCTCTTTCCTCAAAAAGTTATATATAATAGTTATATCGAAGTTTGGAGACATTCACTGGACACGTTGCGATTATTTTTGTGTGGTATCTAAAGTAAAAGTAGTACATTCCACTAATCCACGAACACTGGAGGAGCTTAAAGACAACATTCGACGAGAAATAAACAGCATCACTGACGCTTTGATGACGCACACAGCGATCATAGCGAACAAAGTGGAATGAACTATTTGCACAATAAAAACTACCCAGTCTGCAAGATGACATTTTTTGACGTATTTTAGGTTTTTTACATAATACCCCTGCTTCATTCATCTAAATTGTAAAATGCCTCTCAAACTAGGGGCCGTATAGTGGGACTTCGGAAAGCTGGACTTTCTTTTCGGGCAATTGCAGTTAGAGTGCAAAGAAGTGTAGACACTGTGGTTAGGTGTTGTCAGGCATGGCTTCGAGAAGGCCGTACGCAAAGAGCAAGGGGCACTGGACGCCGCCGTAGAACAACAATCGCCGCCTAAGATTATTGGCCTTAAGGGACCGTTTCTCCACTACCAGGTCCATTGCAAATGAATGGTTTGCAGAACACGGAAGACCTATTGGCATGCGAAGTGTTTACCGACGAATGAGAAGTTTTGGCTTGTTTTCATACCGGCCACACTGGGTCCTCCCTTTAACTCGAGAACACCGACGTAATCGCCTTGAGTGGTGCATACAACGGTCACTCTGGGATCAGGAATGGAACAGTATTGTCTTTAGTGACGAGTCTCGATTTTGTTAGGCATGCACGATGGTCGTGCCAGGGTTAGAAGGCGACGTGGTGATAGGAGGAATCCACAGTTTTTTGTTGAAAGACATGTTCATCACACTGTTGGAGTTATGGTTTGGGGTGCTATAGCTTATGGTTCCAGGTCACCTTTAATCTTCATCAGAGGTAACATGAACGCGCAGCGTTATATCCACGAAGTTCTAGAACCCCATCTTTTACCCTATCTTGACACCCTGGCACATCCAACTTTCCAACAAGATAATGCCCGACCACATGTTGCAAGAGTCACAATAGACTTCTTTCAACATAATGATGTCACATTGTTACCATGGCCACCAAGATCTCCCGACTTATCCCCAATTGAGCACGTGTGGGATATGATGGGTAGGAGATTGCTCAATTTACAACGTCCTCCTCAGACTCTAGAAGCACTTCGAGAGGAGTTGGTGGTTGCCTGGAATGAGATGCCACAGGAGGACATTGACCACCTGATCAGAAGCATGCCTAGGCGCGTTGGAGAATGCGTAGCACATCAGGGTGCATCCACACATTATTAAAGGTCAAAGGGCTTTAAAGCAGTGCAATCATTTTGACATTTTTATCATTTACTTATTATGCTTCATTAAGTACTTATACAAAATTTTATTAAAATAAAACCATTTAAACTGGGTGTTCGGATTTATACATATGTCACTTAGTATACCTTCGTAATCACTGATTTTAATTTTTTAAACTCGTTGTACTCCTTTTTTGATGGCAAACATATTTGGTAATCATACATTTTCCGATTGAGATATATCAAAATACAATACAGCAGAGATTTGGAATTAAATGCTTAGTTCGATTTAGTGCGTAAACTGCCTTCAGAGTAGTGAATACAATACTTTTAAATGTTCAAATTTGGTTTTAGCTATATCAAAGTGAATCACTTTAAGCTACTATTTACACTTGGAATGTAAGTGACTGCAGATCCGCTTTAGGGGAAGGGTTCCGTTCGGGATACTAACCTCTACGTATCTTAGCAATTAACAATATGAATGTTTCTAGTTTCCAATACCACCTGCTTGATGATTAAAACCGTATTATCAATAGCAATTTTCTCCTCGTTGGCAACACTCTTGACGATAAAAAACTGAAATTATCCATATTCAAACTGTAATTCGCTGATAGCATTAACAACTATTTCTCGTATATCTGCTACCCAAAAGCATACGGGTTATTTTATTTTTACGATACGCTTTCATTGATTTTTAGAAAACCTCGCCAGGTTATTAACCCTTGTGGATCCAGGTCATGCATTCAGAGAATATTCATCATTTTATCATTCAACCAACATTGTATTTGTTTTGTGTCTTTTACAATAAATTGCTTCGGCTTCAACCTACAATCTATAGGTATAGGCATTTCAAATTCGACCATGACCTTTGGATCTCGGCAATGTTATGCTCTACTGTTTCAGCCCTAATTTTGTTTGCAAATAAGAGATAAGTTTGGGCCAAGAATCTACAACTCTGAGAGACCGTTTTGTCGTCTATCCGACCACAGACATGAACAGAATAGTCAGCCTTTCGCGGTCAAAACAGTAACTGGGCCATCAAACGTAAACGGTTCCCACCGATAGCCGCTAGACAGTTTCACAGTGCTCAATTCTGTTAATAGATGGCGTTTTGCATTGTCTTGTTTCGATCTGCTGATTTGCAGATTTCTAGGTACTTATTTGAAGGTCTTGAAGGTTCCTACTTACCTGACAAAAGTTATTTTCGCGCATGTCAAGGGCAGACTTATTTTACCGTCCATCTCTTTATTATAAAGTACTACCACAGCCGACGTCAACTACGAGCCGTGAACAAAGAAATCTGGCAACGTAGGTGGTAGTGTTACTCCCGCCGCTGCTTGCTGCATCGACGCAACTCGTGCTCAAAACGCTGAGAAAACATAACCTTTTCAATTTGTGATTTTGGAATCCCAGAGGCTGTACTTAAGAGATAAGCTTGTTTTCTAAGCTTCAAAGTGTGTGTATGTGTTCAAAGTGATCGGTGACTATAATATATGAGAAATAGACTCCAGTTGTAGTGCTTCTGTGCTTTAAAAATTAACTAAGAAGTGTGACTGTGGCTGTTCGCGCCTCAGGACGCTAAGGATTTCAACTATTGAAAACGTGCAAATTCAGGTTGTATTTAGTTGACGTCGGCTGTGGTACTACCTTCCTCTATAATAGTTGGTCTAACGACACGTCGCGATGTCATAATATGATGGTACTGGATGCTGGATTTGCATTAGATGTGACAAGAAAAGACTACTACGTTATTTTTTTGAGTTCAGACGGGTATTAATTCAGAAACCTGACACGTGTTACCTAGAAAATATCTTTTCCATCAAAAATCTGAGAAATCGCTGGGTAAATAATAAGTGCATGTATTCATATAAAGCTTTTTCGGTGTGTTAGATAAAGGATTGTCTTTGCTGTAAAGCTACCTATCTATTTTTACCTTCAACGCCGAAACGCCGAAAATTTTAAAAAAGAGATATTGTTTTTTGAATGTCTGTCCGCTAATCTATAGCCCGCCTGTGATTGGGAAAGTACCGCTCAGACTTTGATGAAATTTCCACATAATGTTGTTGCTATGCCAAGGACGAGAAATATTTCTAGTTTTGAAAATCGGCGAAGCTAGGGCAAGAAAACGAAAAAGATCGGTGAAACTTTGTTTTTTGACGTATCAGATGCTCCTGATCATTTTCAGAAACACTTTTGTAGGAGCTTATCACCCCCAATTCAAAAATTAATGAAAACAATTACCGAGCTAGATTTAAGAATGGAACAAATTTACAACGCAGATGAAAGTGGCCTTTTTTGGAAAATGTTACCAGAGAAAACCTATGCTGCATCATTTGAAAAATCTGCCCCGGGAAGAAAGCTGGAGAAACAACGAATAACGTTTCTAGCTTGCACTAATGCTAATGGTTCACACAAAATAAAGCCACTGGTAATTGGGAAAGCAAAAAATCCGCGCTCATTTAAAAATGTTAATATCCCTGTTGATTATGACTGT